GTGGTCGAGAGATTTCCTACCAAATGGGCCACCTTAGAATACGGTTGAGCGAAAGTGGTGGTGACAATAGAGTCGGTGGGGACGGGTGTGGCATACCGAGTAGTGATATTAGTTTCGTAGGCGAAACTAGACATCAAGTACGTAGGCTCCCACGCAGTGCATTCACCAGAGGAATTGACGAAAGTCGAAGAATCGGAGAGGCCGCCGGTAGAGCTGCTAATCACTGCAGCATTTGCAGAGCTGGCAGCGACCACTAGCAAGGCGATGAAACTTGAAACAGGCACCATTTGTATCTTCAACAGGGAGTGGGAAGTTTTTGGGATATCTTAGATAAATTAGAAAAGAGGATATATGGCGGGCTATGTGACAATTTATATGGCTCTAGCGAGCCGTGTTCCTCGCTTTGTGATTCCGCAAATGCCGTGCCACCGAAAGGCCTATCATACTCCTCGTAGTATGTGCTAATTCTTTGTACCTATAGTAATTTCGTATTGGACATATTCCGTGACCAGCGTGAATCACTATGGATACATATGAAGTTTGGGATAATTCTTGGCACCGGGCTAAGTTTATGCATGCAAGCCCGGAAAAAATGTTTAACGAGGATCTTCGGTCTACCACAAACTGTGCTATGGACCTCGATCCGATTTACAAAGATCTGGCCTTGAATAGTCAAAACAGTGGTTTACTGTTGGGTGGTTATCCCCCAAGAAAAGCCTAAGTTCGTTTGTTATCTATTGACCCCCATCCAGACCCCCATTGTACCGAATCACAGGGTGCATGGAACTTTGGATAGCGCACGTTGCCAGTAGTTGAGGATTGCATACGTCTAATTTAGGTGAATGTTTGAAATAAGGTATGAAATAGCGAAGTAGCGCAACCGATTCTAAATAGGAATGCAGAAGCGGCATACACGTGTTGTTGCCGTCTGGTGTATTATGTATCCTTATTCGGACACTTCCGACGCACCCCGCATGGCGCGAGCGTCTCCGGCGGAAAAAGTCTTATTTTATCCGACAACGTCGGGAACGCAAGCCGCAAATTATAAGAAAATGTCCGTAAATTTAGTATTACGTATAAATAGAGTTCTTCTGATTGATCCCGAAATATAACAGGGTACTTTTACGGGTGACTTTACTTTATCCGCTAGCTCGGTTCTAAAAATTGATATTGATAAAAGTACATCGTTAGCTGTTAGTGGGCTCCCCGATGGACCAGCTGTTGATACTCAGAGAGAATAGTCTAGCACACATTGCCAGATCTTTCGTTATAATATCCAATGATATCGAAGAAGCTCTTTTTGTAGTGTCTCTCCTGGGTCGTTCTGTTCACAGTCTGCAACCCAAATTGTTGGCTGTAGTCGCCAAACTCCCAGTTATCAGCAAAACTCCAGGCAAAGGCACCCATGACATTCACATTATCGAAATGAATTGCCTTCAAAACTGATTCCAAGTACGTACGGTAGTAGATCGATCTGTCAAGGTCATAT